AAGCTATATACCTACATCTTCTATCACTAAAACAAATTACTATACATAGAAACGTATAATATATTCAAGGCATCTTGTAGTATAGTATATTTTAGTATAATTAATAAATAAAAAGCCTTAACAGCAGTTTAAAATTATTAAAAAAATACATTAAAAAAAAAAAAAAAACATAATGCATAATAAAATCCATTATAACATTCCCTAAAAAAAAAAAATGATTCATTCAAAATGTTATAATCAGTATTTTATCCATAAAAAATATAGTGATTTGTAATTGATCTTAGTAAAACTGTGAACGTGGACACGTGGTCTTGTAACACAAAGATAATAATTGTACTGGTAAATGATTTTGAACTCGTTAAGAAATAGGTATGCAATTTTTTTGTTTAAAAGGGAATATATTAATATACAGGAAAGTTAAACAATTTTTTTTATACTTATTTTTTTAAGTAGTTGTTAAAGATCAAAGACAATAAACAACATGGGGATCACAATAATGCAACAAATTCAAATTGTTAGTAAAAGTAAGGTATAATAAATTATCTATTTTATTTTTATCAGTTACCTAATGCAACTCTTCGCAGATAAGATCGTGCATAGTATTTGAAAAAAAAAAACGAATTAGTCACTCTGCTGTATAGTAGGTTTTGAGTAGGTCATTGTAATGTGGGTGCGTTAGATTTTAATTTAATGATAAATCATCACATAGGTTTAAAAAACGATCTCGAGTGGAGACGTTGGGTCAGCTTTTATTTCTTAGGATATTGATATTTAGAATTTATTTATATTACTTTTAGTAAAAGACTTGTAAATTGTAATACAATATGTTGAAATAATTTTTGCGAATACACCATATTATGTATTATATAATAATAATTATAAATCATATAATATTATTCTTATAACTCAATACCAACCGGTGCGTAATTCAAATATTCAATATTGATTTTCCGCATGATCTGCTATTCGTTTTATTTATTGACGATTATGAGTTGTATATTCTGCAGTGCGTAATGGTTTGTATAATTCATTTTAATATTTGTGAACGACACTTTATAATAATCTTAAGAAATCTTATAATCAGCGATTGACGAGTTGAGTTGTGAAGAGTACAGGATTGTATAGTTGTACAGGGTGATTTTAAGGCATTTTTTCTCCATGTTTATTTTTAAATTATGCATTCACATAGGCACCTATGACATTGAAATTCTGATTTTTGCAATTGTTTAGAGTAGGTAGTTAAAGATGATATTTTCAATTACTCAGATTTCTAACAATATTTAAGAAGTATCTTGTGGCGATACCGACATCGGTTTTTCAGATGCGAACTTCCATGTTTAATGCAAATTGTGAATCTCATGATTTTGCAGGCGAAATTGTTGATTTAGAATTGTAATTGAAATTTGAACAAAAATTTTAATCATAATCAATATATAAGAACAGATCTTATATAAATATATCGATATTATTGTTTTAAAGTTGTGTTGTTAAATGTCAAGTTAGTGGCTTTAAATTTTACGACTTGAGATCTTAAATTGAGCATCAAGTTTTCAAATACAATAACTAAGTGAGATTGAATAAAACTACAGGTACTAACTTTAGCTTAAGTAAAATATATACATAATATACGAGTAAATAATATGGTATTAATTAATATTTAATATTAATAACACGACTTGGAGATTGGAGTAGTTTTTAACTTTTAAAGGACTAAGAAAAACTCTAAAAATTAATTATTTGTTTTTATTTTCCCATCTATATTTTATTTTTAAGTAACGTTAAAAGAGTGGTCACTTGCGTTAACTCGTGACGTCATTGATTATCATGAAATATTGATATGTATAAACTATAAAGTGTTAAAGAAATAATAATATGCGTGTGCCGTAACACAATAATTTTTTGACTAATCACCACTGGTAAGTAGAAACTAAAGTTGGTTATATTTTCCACTAGGTGAAATCGAATACATCGAATTGCAAGCTATTGGGATTTTTATGGAAAAAATAATATCTACAATCTCTAATCTTAAGTGTTCGTATATTGTGTGAGAAGCGTTACAGAATAACCGGTGAAAACTACCATAGGCGTAACTAGGATTTAATAGTTTCAGGGGTGAGAGTCCTAGAAAACTAATGTTCAAATAAACTTTGAGGGCCCCACACCTCCACCATAGTAAGCGTAACTGTCCTCTAAAATCAAAATTAAAAATGAACAGTAAAATGAAAGTATAAATGCATCATTACAAACAAAATGTAAATAATAAAATAAGTACAATATAATTTATTATAGGAGGCTAAATACACATATAGAGGAGCTAAGTCCTCCCCTAGCTACTCCGATTAACACCACCCAAGTCTCTGATTGTCAACCAGAATACGAATTGGTGACTAAGTTATAACTTATAAATTATAAACATCTCCCTGCGTGTTTAATGAGACTTATGTTTTTAAATATTTATTTGTTTATTTATTTATTAGAATAAAATATACAATATTTAATTTTGGTTCTCTTCTCCATCTCTTAATTCATTCCCTTCCAGTAGACATTTACTTAAAACAATTATTATTAAAACACACCTGTTCCATTTCTTCACATCCGCTTAGCTTACCACTGACTTGTCCAACCAAATACCACCCCGACAGTCACGATCAAAATCATCCTAGACGTGTCTGCGGGTCCGAGCATAGAGTAAAAAGAATTATTATAACTCTGTGGGGCCGAGTGAAAGTATCGTCAAGACACGATTATTGTTATTATATTATTTTAACAAAAACAATTCGTGTGGGGTCTATTGGGGTAACCTACATTATGTGTCCGACAAGACCAACCCTTGATAGCAGGACTTATAATTTTCTAAATAGTAAATTCTATTACTCCCCATCGCTTAATGGCACCACCATATTGGTTCCATTTCACGCCAACCTATACAATATATTGTAAAATTTAACGGTTCGTGTGTAAGCACTAAATAATGATAATATGTAGCGTTCGATCCATCCCATTACACGATCAGCCCCACACAAACCGTGAGATTTCGATGTTTGTTCAACTGCCGCCGATAGTTTATTTTATTGTTATTTAATAATAATAATAATAATAATACAACAACAAGTACAAAGAAATCGTTATGATATAAAGTGTAAACAATTCGTTCAGGTTGATGGAAAAAGAAGGTTAGCGTAAACCAGACCTGATTTCAAATTTAAAACGTATTCGTTTATAATATATTGATGTAGTAAGATACACTGTACACATGGTCATGACTCGTGACATTAAATTTAATCGTTCAGTACATGATGGACAATGGACATTAAAACATTTGTATGAACTTATATTTTTTAAATACAATATAATATGACAATTATTAATTATTATTATGTTCTAAATATAGAAATACTTAAAGTTTTTTTAAAACAAGCTAATTTAATAACAATCTGTGACAAAGTACGGTATGATAAATATTTATACTGCACCTACCACACGTCTTATTATTGAAAATAATTAAGTTGTACACATTTGTCTCATAATATTAGCGTGGCGTCACGAAGGCTAAGTTGTATTCAAACCGTTTCGCTGTTGTAGTAGGTATATATAGATGTATAGTGTCTTAATCATCTGAATGTCTTTCTATAATTCTTATCGAGACCCAGACGACAATTCAATTTCACCATAATTTGTTAACACACCAGTTTCAGGTATATTATTATATATATAATATATATGAATATATTGTAATCAGTAGGTGCGTACAATGGATCTTTAAAGCCGTGTTTCAAGAACGACTATAATATATAATTCCGTAAATGACACGATGTAAATCGGTAATGGAAGACTGTAAACATTACATGTTTTCGGACTGATCACTATACAGCCAAAATAATAATAATAAGTAGATTGCAGATAGTCATGTTATACGTTATCGCGATGTAAACGTGTATAGTATACATGAAATATTTGTTTTATTTCAATTTCATTTCATGTGAAAAAAAATACAACACTCGAACTGGATAAAAAATGCAGTAAATTCAATAAGTTTAAATGGACCAATCACAGACCACTAAATCATGTTTAAGGGACCATCAGGAGGTCACTATTTATTTATTTTTCATTAAATATTTAATAATATTGTAAATGCAACACGGTATTAATTACTTAAAATTCAAATAATGTTGACTTTGACTTCGTGGGGACTTTCATGACGGACAAAAACAGAATCTGAGCTTATCAATTAACAAACATAACGGTATGGTCATTGAGTTGTTATTATCATACTTTAATAGTATGTAATATATCATATACATATACATCATCGTATATGACAATATGTTTGTTATTAGATGTTTGAACAAGAATTCACTTTTTTCGTGACTGCTAACCTTTTCTAGATTTTTGTTCGATCAAAAACTTAACTTGGTTTTCTTTTAATGAGCTCAATGGCTTGTTTCAAAATCCAATAAAAATTTTTGGATGAACGAACGTGAGTATTGTAATGTCATTCTTAGGATAAACAAATACAGAAAATACAAGCGTAATTTACACTTAAAATCGTAATATTTTATCGTAGTTAAAAACCAAATCAAAAAACATACATTTTAATTGATATATTTTTATTATTTTATTATTTTTTTTCGTTTATTTATTTATTTTTTTTTGTAATTATTATTTTGTTTACGAATCGTATAACATTTTATAATTTTTCGTTTTCAACGACATCCATTCATCAACTTTTCGATTCCCACAATAATAATAATAATGATAATAATAATAATAATAATAATAATAATGATAATAATAATAATAATAATAATAATAATAATAATAATAATAATAAGTAAATTAATTAATAATTTCAAAATTAAATTACATTAATTGATTAAACCTAACAACATAATTTGTATGTTTACTCGACGAGAGTTTTAGGACAAAAAAATACTAAAAATAATTAAATAATGATAATAATAATTCTTAAAAGGTTAAATCATAAAATTATAACAGGAACCAATACCAAAAAAATCAACTTAACAAGGTCATCAAAAATGACGCTATTACCAAAAAATAAAATAAAATAATAATACAAATAATAACACACTCGCAAAATAAAAGTTAAGACAAAAGAAAACAGTATTTTTCATAATTTACTTTTAACCTAAACGTCTACTTTCTATAATATTAACAATACAATTTTTGTTCAATTAATTTACACGTACATGATAAAAACAGACGAAAAAAACACATTTAAAATAGGTTATAAACTATCGGACGTTATGTGATTTAATTATAATATAATATATATAATATATATAATATATTTTATTTATAGAATAATTATTATCTAACGAAAATTGGTACATCTAGTTAATGCCCTGAGATGCTGCACCATTATTGTATTTTATAAATGTATCTATATACTCATTATCTGTATATAGGTATTTTAAATGTAATATGGTTATAACATAATAATATTGTAATATGACGTTTTATATTTTGTTTGTACATTTGAAAAATATGAAACGGAGCAGAAACACAGCCTTAGGAAATAAAACAGAATAAAAAGCTTTGCTGGAACTTAAGAAATATATAAACTTAAGACATTTACTATTTTATTATAAATAAAAGGTAACAAATAAATCACCGTAAAAGTAATACATTGCACTCAATTTAACACACATATTAGTATTATTGTTAAATAATATTTTTTTAAATGTTTTTCATACACACGAGTGTATTTATATAACAGACTATTATATTTTAAATATATTAATAAGTACTATAAATAATGAACTGTTTGGTTTGAGGTGTATTTGTGTGAATAATAATCGTATAATAGAATATATTATTATTATCGTTCCTGATATTTATTACTATTTTTATTTTCATTATGTATATAGAGGTACCTGTATTGTATTATAAATGTTTCATGATTACCCTGCATGAGTGACGAGTGTATTTCTCTATAGTTAAGTTTAAAATCCTATTTAGAACTATTGCAAGAAATTAAATAAAAAAATTAATCGTTTGCCATGAGGACGTACCTTCGAAACGGGTACCACGCATACCATCTCTCGTAAACTATACTCTTATCATTTGCTTATTTGGATTGTTACAGTTGTAATGTCATAACGATATTAAGTTATTACTGTAATAACGATGATGATATCAATGAAAGCTGTTATTAAAGTTTGACCGACCGCTTGTTGGGAGACACGTAAAGTTTTAATGTAATTTCGTTGGATACATGATATAATGTTACTTCAGTAATCAAATTGCTGGTAATATTACGTCCCATTAATCACAAAATTGTACAAACGTATGCGTTTTATGGCTCAGAAAAAAAAAACAAAAAAAAAACAAAAACAAAATGGCGAATAAACAGGAACTATAAAAAAAAAATATGTATTTTAGTGGCTTCATAATATACGAGGAACAATATTGTATAATATATTTTGCCGTTTTCTCTTGCTGATTTCGAGGTAAATATCATGTTTTTATCTCTCAAAAAACCTACGAAATGCAGTAAAACTTAAAGCCAACATGTGTGTATAGGAATCACAGTTTCACAGAAGTATACACATGATTAATATCTAATAAAAATTAAAATAAAATTACTGTAACTAAAACTTAGGAACTGTATGTAGACACCATAATGTGTTCGGCTGTATATTAGGTAATTGTATCGTTTTGATTTGTTTATCGGGCTGAGATGAAATTCTATTGTTTCGGAACAACAATTATTATTTATCTTTAAAATGGCTACGTTTCGGTCTAGAATAATATAATTATAATTTTTTTTTAATTAACGATACGACGATCACACTTATAAATATGTACACGATCAATTTGTTTAAAAATCTAATTTACACGTTTCTTTGTATTCACTAGCTGTAGTAGTAGTAATTTTGTTTAAATTTTTTTTTTTTCGTACCAAAACTTTTTCATAATTTTTTTATTATTTTATTTCAATCCCTTATCATTAAAAACGATTATTATATATTACACGCACGATTACGAACCACGGCCGTACGATTCGACCGAATGATTATATTATATTATATTTATAATTACTATTATTATTTTTATACGTATTATATTATAATGGATTACGGATAAGGGCGAGAAGGAAGGTTCGAAAGGATTTGGGGTGGGTGGAGGTAAGGGGCATGCACGCACATGGTTGAGGGTGGGATACGGGGCGGCGATTCAGCCAAACGCCCGTGACGACGGCCACGTGGTGGACAAGGGACGCGAGCGCTCAAGTACATGACAGGCTTATGCGCATTTTCCGGTACACCCGGCGCGAAGAACAACGGCGAAATTATGTTCGGAGCACCGCGTCAAACGCCGCCAGCGCGTAGTCCCTAAACACCCCGTGTCAGTCTTGCTCCTTGTCCTTGTCATCAGCTTCCGGACTCAGTCTTTCGTCTTCGACGTCTTCGTCGTCATCCTCGTCGTCTACCCCATCGTCCTCGTCACCGGCACCGGCACCGCCGCCAACGTCACCGTCACCGCCACCGCTGCCAACGTCACCGCCGCCGCCGCCGCCGCCAACGCCGATACCACCGGCCTTCGAAAAGTCCATGGCCACCACGTCGTCGTCCTCGTCCTCGTCTTCCTCGTCGTCGACGCCGCAATCGTCGTCTCCGTCGTCGTCGTCGCAGTCGCCGTCACCCTCACCTTCGCCGTCGCCGTCGACGTCACCGTCACCGTCACCATCGCCGTCACCCTCGCCGCCCGTCGTCGGTGGTTCTGAGTTGCTGCGACTGGCAGCCGGAGACTTCATCGCGTAGTCTAGAACGACGGCCGACTGCAGTGGCTGGCCGCCGATCATGTCCTGCAGTCCCAAATACTGGTGTTTGTCGGCCGCCGACATCGACGACATGTGCTGCTGTTGTTGGTGCATCAGGTGTATCATGTCTATGCCCATTGGGAACGTTGACCCAAAGTCCGGGAAGAAGTTGGGTGCCGGGAACGCGGGTGGGTTGAATCCTGGAGGTCCCAGCATGAGGTCGACGGGTTCCGACGGCGGGTTGCAAGGCTGCAGTGACGAGCCGTTGCCTCCGCCGCCGTTGTTGTTACCGGAACCATTGATATTCGACTGGCCGTTATTACCGCCACCTCCGCTGTTGTTGTTGTTGCTGTTGCTGCTGTTGTTGTTGTTATTGTTGTTATTCTTGTTGCTGCTGTTGTTGTTATTCGATATGGATCCTAAGTGCAACAAGTCCAGTGGACCGTTTATATCACCGAAACATTCTTTTTTCAACTGTTCCAGTTTTAGTGATTTACCATACTTGCCACGCACGTACATGAGCAGGCTGTTGTACGGTATACCGAAAATTCTGGACGCCTGTGACGTGGTCATCTTCTTGTTCCACACGTGCTGTAGAGCTTCCGTGAGTTCGGCGTTCGTCCAGGACCTAGGAGGACCTCCACGTGGAGCGCTGTGCTGGCCCTTAGGACGTCCAACTGGGAACATTTTCTCTGCGAAGAAGAAAATAAGGAAGCAATTAAAAAATGTAAAAAATTAACGAATTAAAAGTCTCTCAGTTATTTTACTTACTTTTCTTTTTACTCGGCGGTGGATTGTCGAACCTCGGTTCGATCAGTTCGTTTAGCAGTGGGTTTCTGCAGCCGTCCAAACCGGGAAATAGACCTGTTATGAATAACGATCACATTAGAAATAAATTCTAGTACACACACACATAGACGAATAAAATGAAAATGCATAATCTACTATTTAAAAAAATATTTAAATGCCATTGCACTTTCCCCGATATGTTACACTGTGTTAGAATAATTAGTTAAAATGATAAATCATTATCTATGGATTTGGTGAAACCACATTGATACCACATTATAAGATTATTGTTATCTATTGTATTAATTTGTCATCACTGTTCGCGAAATTATTATCATAGGGACTATGATATTTGTTAGGTATATTTTTTTGATTTAGCATCGGCACGATTGATTTATTTGAAATTGTTTGGAATTAATAAATGTCATACTTAACTACATTTATTATAAGCCAAGTAAGGCGAAGTAATAAGGAGACAAATGAAATAAGGATGAATTATATTAATGTGCTAACCTTATTATCTATAAGCTGTAATTGTAAAAAAAAATGTTTTTTTGCAAATTTTGTGCCTTCTCCCCCATTACAAAAAAAATCTTTGCTACAACATCACTTCAAAATATAACTAGTGCAATGAAATTATTAAGTGATTAGTTTTTAATTTACAATATGAAGAAAAAAACCATCCACGCAATCAAGATCTTAACAAAATATTTATAATTTATTATTTACTTCAAAATTGTTTTAATTCTCAATTTATTATATTATTTTTTCAGATATTTAAACAAATTTAATTGATTGTAAATTATATGAGTTGTAATTTGTTTGGAAACCTTATCCATATTAAACTCATAAAATAATATAGATATAACTAATAATATTCCAGAAGTAATATTACAATAAAGTAGGTTTTTAATATTACGTTGTAATTATTATAATATATTATAAATTAATATAATTACTGATTAAATATTTATTTTTATTGTATAAGACTGTATGACATTTAAAAACTTTATTGTTAAACCATTATTATTATTAAGTAGAAAAATCAATTTTGATTTACTCCTTTTATTTCAAACACCACTACATGAAAGAAAATAATTAGTCTACATTAAACGCCTTAAAAATAATTTTATAATTTATTTTTATATTTCAATTTCAAAATAATTCTTTGATTTTTAGTTTTTATAAAACAGTCAACTATTGTAATACGTAATGAAATATTTTTTTCTGTTAATCTTACCAAATTGGGCATCTATTGGAAACACTATAATAGAAAACAAAAACAAAAAAGTATTAGCTTCATATGAACTCTACAAAACTATAATGAATTGTAAAATAAATCAGAAACATTTGATTGCTCTTGTCATTGTTCAAATTTACAATTGTTAGACTGCAGATAAGTTTGAAATAAATTAAAATATAAGACACTTCATATTATTAGAAAAAAACTCATATGGTATATGCATGTCGAGTGTACTTTTAAAATAACGAATTCCGAACAAAAAATTATATAATATAATATATTATTATAAAAAAGAACACTAATAAGTGACTTACAAAAAACACTGGTACCAGTAATTACTTGGTATGCAAGACTCTTAGTCATACACACAAGCTGAATTTTTGTTCTCTCTAACTTTGTTTTATATTTATTAACTCAAAATATACATATTCAAACTTACTGTGAGGAGGTCCTTGTAGAGATAGCGACGACAACGGTCCAAAAGGCGGAAACAGCGAGTTCTCAAAGTGCGGATCCTATAAAAAAAACAAAAATATATATTATGAACTCTGTTTCATAATACTGCTAAAATCCAATTAAAGTGCGTGCATATATTATGGCAAACAAAGTAAATCCTTTCTAACGTATACAAATTAATTGTTCATGAAAGTATTTAATTTAAATACCTAACTGAAACTGACCATTAAAATCTGTTGAAGACTCAGAGTTGTGTATTTTTTTTTTTTTTAAAATTAAAACCATATTTGGATATAGCACTATAATATCATTATTAATAGGTACTATTCAAACATTTCCAAAAAGTAAAGCCACTTTTAGAGAAAAATCTTGGTCGTACGTTTTAGTTACTGCCGAGGGATTAAGAATATTTTGTATATCCTATACGTTTATTAAAATTGTATAGCAGCCAAAAAATATCATGGTTACTTCGGTTGACATTAATAATATTTTCAAGGACTTTAATTTCCAAAAAGAATAAGCGAACTAAACAGTAACGACGAGTCCCCGTGGTAAAGAGGGGTGAAAAAATAAAAATAAAATACGTAAAACAAAATATAAGGAGCGAAGACGTGAACTCACGTGTGGGTTAAGTGGTATGCTCATGGGATCCGGCCCGTAATAAGGGAAGTCCGGATGCCTCTGATGCTGTTGTTGGTGGTTGAGATGATGATGGTGGTGATGGTGGTGGTTCTTTTTGTTGCTCGACTGGTTATTATTATTGTTATTGTTGTTTACGTTCGGATTGCCACTGTTGGCAGTCAACTCTACCGGCAGATTTTGTCCCAAGTCTCCAATCATTTCTGATTCTTCCACTTCGACCTTCATTTGTTTCTGAAAAAGAAAAAAAGCATCTCGTTATACATTTTTAAGCCCAAAAAAAAATTACTGCCAAGTATGACGTGTTTCTTGAAACACATTTATTAAATGATTGTAAAATAATTGTATGTGTAAAAAAATTAAATATATTAATTCATTTAACTAATGCGCTGGATTGTAAAAATAAATTATTTTTTGAATAGCTATAAATTAATATCATCTAATAATTTTTCTTTTAAAAAAGTACTAATTAATTTTATATTTTATATTAATATCAGTCGTCTATATAGATTTGCAAGTTATAATGAAAAACTCACATTTGCCGACGGTGACGGTGTCCTATCTGGCCTCTTATTGTTACAACTTAAATTTGTCGGCACGTTTTCGTTATTGATATTTTCATTGTTTGGTGACTTTTTCATCGACAAATTTTCGGCGACATTGTTACTGAAGTTTGACGGAGAAGGTGCTTTACTCAAATCTTGTGGACCAATCGCTTCACCCGATCTTCGTCTGGGTCGAGCCTAGATATACACATAATAATGTCAATAAAAAATTATTATTTTAAGGTTAAGTAGGAAGTTGACAAAATGTAAAGTTAAGCATAATTGAACATTTCTCTTTTTGAAATATAGTAACTCAGTCGGTTCTTCGAGGCGGAGAAAAGAGAATTGAAACACAACGAAAGAAAAACTCCACACTCAGGTTAGGTTACGTAATGATATCATTATTTGGTCACAACAGCAGTAGGTACGATGACTTACCTGTTTCCTGCGAGGCGTCGGCGATGGACAGTTCCTGTCGTTGAACGTGATGGGTGGCAAGTGCTGTATCTGTGGCAGATGGATGTGCGAAGGATCGTAAGGATTGGCTGCAGCGGCGGCCGCAGCGGCCGCGGCGGCCTGGAAGAACATCCTGGTGGTCGGCGACATTCGGCCGGCCGATCCGTCGCGGTGATGCGGTGGCGGCAGTCCGAGCGCGTGGTGCGGCGGCGGCTGCGACTTGTTGCGCGGACTCTGAGGTGAGTCGGTGGTCCGGTGCCTGTGGTGGTGATGATGGTGATGATGACCCTTGCCCGGGGAACTTTGTCCGTTCGTCAGCTCGTGGCCGGCGGTCGTGCTGGATTTGCTGCCACCGGGACTCTGGCCCCTGCTGGAATGGTGATGGTGATGGTGATGGTGGCCGCCCACGCCGTGGTGATGAGACGACGGAAGCGGTGGCTGCTGTTTCTGTTGTGACGGTGGCGGTTGGATGTCCGTGGGAGTCGCCGACGACGAAGTGGGCGAATCGACGAACAACGGAATGCGCTCAGTGTGGGCTAGTCCGCGGATCTGCAATCATACAATCATGAAAGCGATTAGTGGTCGAAATTTACGACCCACCACCCACCCTTTGGTAGGGTTCCCCTTGCTCGCACCCCCTCTCATAATCAGCACACATATGTTACTGTTATTTGTAATATTATGTAAGCACATACGAGTTGACATGAATACATGATCGGTGAGGAGGGTATGACGACGGGTCGTACTGTCGTGGCTCTACCCGGTGACATGAATTGGCGGCCGACCAATTAATTTTTTCTTAATAATTTTTTTTATTCTGTTTACCAATGGCAAAGGTTATTGTGTGATTCATTTTTAGAACTAAGAATGTTTTATAATGAGTAGATTCCTTTGATTGTAGTATAACATTGTATTATTTTTATTGATTTTTAATGTTCACGCTAATCCAAAGTGTAACTTCAAGGTTTAAGTCCACTCATTATTTTACTATAATTGCAATGCATGTATGTTTAAATATTATGTAGCTTGAGTATGACTGGAATATGATGAAAAAAGAAACCTAATAATGAATACTCTCAAAACTGCAAAACTTCCTGAACTTATTGTGCTTTGGATAAAATCTTATAAACATCGAAATGTCACCAATTTTTTTATCACCATATCCGTTAGATTTGTACAAGACAAATCTCTGTTATAGTTTAAACTGTATTTAGGTGCTGAAACGTAGACATTAATGAAGTACTGAAAAAAATGTAAAAGTAAGTCTATAGATTTTTTTTTGTTATTTCGTTACTTTAATAATAGTTTGAGCACAGCAAATTAATGTTGTAAATTTATAGTTGCTTAGCCGCAAACTAAAATCAAACTATACCCGGGATCGTTGCAATTATATCTCAATTTATAATCCTCTTATAAGGTTTAGTTTGAATAAAATGTTATGCAAGTGAAAAATAAATATGGTCATCGATACCAAGAGGAGTTTACATGAAAGTCCGAGAATTTGTCTTCGTAGGTACATATAACGTTTAGGTCTTCTCCCCTAGATCACGGATAACACTAATAATATTATAATGTTTACGTACTTGTAGCGTTTCAGCAGCCTGTAGTAACAACGGCAACTGTTCCTGGCCAACGTTAATCTCCCCTTTGTACATGAAGTGTATGATTGCTCTCATCTCCCAGTCGGGAAGGTCCTTAAGCACGATCACAGGATGTTTGCACGGGGTTTCAGAGAATAGCCTTTGAAAATATGGACTAAAAAAAAACATACGACATAATTAAAAAATAATAAAGTTATTATATTTCCGAGAAAAAAGTCTTGAGTAGGTACCTGCAAGCGGATAAGACGACTTTGTGTGCTTTAAACTGAGTCTTTTCACAAACCAGCGTGACGTCCACGAGAGTTTCGTTTTGAAGGAGCACTTCGATGGCGTCCATCATGTGGACCAGGTGATTGTTCCACCGAAGACTGTACTGCGGCGTGTCCATATCCGTTAACAACTGCACGAAAAAAAAAATAATATTGTTAGAATATAATCAACTGCAACATTCAATAATTGTATAATATCCGGTTTATAGTTTATCGTTAGATTCGACTTTATTTATTATTATTAAAATAACAAATTGAAAAAATGACATAATTGATATAACACAGTAATATGTAACCAGAATACCGTACGATTATATTAAGGTATAAAAAGAAGTTATTTCACATTGGAGAAAAAAATTATATTCATATTCAAAACATTTTTTTTTTAATAAAAACCATGGAGTTTGATCACATTAAATATACAAAATAACAATTGTGTACAATATTTTTGTGATGACATATTATTATTGTAGATTATTTATTGTTAATGAGACTGGAATGGTAGGTCTATATAAATGAAATGCATGCAATATGCAAACATGTCTTCGGAGCACTGGGAAATCCGAAATGAATATGTATGGTAAAAAGAAAATAGTGTCATTTACATTAGAAAGGGGGGCCTAAACTGTATAATGACAAAGTATGGCTCGAAAGGGCGAAAAGTACATTAAAAATGACGCTGTCGTAAATTTTATGACCTAAAAGTCTTTTTAAGAAAAAAAAACTTTATGTGAATAGTTTGTAATGACGGTAAACTCGACATTAAAAACACGGTAAATCAGATTTCTTCATTTTAGAACAATAATAAATAAAGCTTAAATGGCTGTCATTCGTTTCGCAGAATTTACAATTTTTAAGTTTTGAGTAAAACAAAAAATGTTTGATGGATATTATAATAGATTTTTTTTCTTTATTTGTATTTTTCATGCAAACATTTAAAGTAATTTATCGATACAAAATCGAATTTATAATTGATAATATATTTTTGAATGGGCAGTAATTTTTTGTAAAAAATGTATCTTTTTAAATGTATAAGGAATCAAGAAATAGTACATAGATAAATACAATAATATGATGAATACAATTTAAGACAAATCCAGGTATACACATACCTATGTTTATTATTTATATTTTTCAAAGTAATATCACAACACACCCCGGCGCCAAGGTGATTGAAGTCATATGAACAACCCTAAAGCCGACGTTTATCAAATCCGTGATCATTGTAAAATCATAAATACATTTTTTATCAAAATTCCACAGGAACTTGACATATAGCGTGGTTAATCGGGTAAATCTAAACAAGTAGATTAAGGTGACATTCTATTTGTAAAGTTCAAATTTTAGTAAAGTCAAAACGAAGGTACCGTAATAGTAATTTGTAGGCGTACATGCATATGTATATACCTGCCTATTATTATATTATTACATAACAGTCATATTGTTTCGAATATTTGCCTCTTACACAACATATTGTCGTTTCACTGGGAACGAGTGTCATAACAATATCTAATATGTGTAATTTTATCATATTATTATAATGCACTCACAACTCGAGCTGGAGGTATATAAATACTCTTAATTATGTAAAAACCCCACGTGAAGACAAACAACAGATGCAAGGTTATTTTCATGTGTAAATTATTAATTATTATTAATATTATTATTACTAAGAGGACGCAACACAACGCGCATATTTTGTTGTCTCCGTCTTACGAATGCGTAACAAAGCACATTTTTGAGTGAGTTATAAACATCTTTAATTTGTGTTATATTATATACTCAAAACTATCGTAAAAAACCCACATACAAACACAGATAATTGTCTTACCATTAAGTTTAATTTCAGTTCGATTATCTCCGAGTTTTAAACTAACGAAGCTAAACGTGATCTGTTGAGCATAAATTTGCTATGTTACGCAGTGTAAGACGGAGACAACAGACGCGTGTGTAGCGTCCTCTTAATATTATAATTATTTATCATGAAGTTCGTCGATGAGAGGGAGTAAAATGTCTTCAAAATTCATAAATAATTGTTTACAATGCACCCTTCGCTACTATACAATATAATATCACAATGGATCGATACGCCACTCGTGAGTCGTGGTCAATACAAATCTGTCCGTCGGCGAGACTTGATGATGAACGTACAAGTGTTTTCCGATTTGAGAAATTTAAAAATAAAAGATCTTCAGCTGCAGTGTACATATAATTATAGTTTAACGCTATCGGGAACCGTCGGCAATTAGAAATGGTTTTTTTTTTTGTGATGCGCAGAGGTCCAAAAAACGTACGTACTTACACAAAAATATTATCCGATCGGCGTTCTGTGAATATTCTTCAATATTCCGATGTATTGTCGCGATTTCGTCGCGCGTAAAAAAAATTTCAACCGTTCACCCGTTTCATCGGCTTCGACAATGTTTGCCTACATAATATATTGTTAAGACTTATAATATTATTATATGTAACGTTTGCGCACTACATCTCTCTCTCTCTCTCTCTCTCTCTCGCTCTCTCTTTCTCTCTAATATATATATACACACTATCTACAATATTATAATACATGTCGTGCCCGTGGCATGGCATCACAGCAATGCGATTTCCACACTACGCGGTGTTATATAGGTACCATATTATTATTATTATTTAATAGCGCGCAATATGCACTCACGCGATAACGATGTACATATAATATTATAAAGTGCAACCGATATGAGGTGTACATATTATTATTATTATTATTATTATAAAACAAAAAATGCGCACTAGTGGACTGCAGTGAGATGAAGAGTGCGAAAAAAAAACCCGAAAATATTACTAAAACATTATAATATTACCATGAGTAGAATCTATTCTACTACCATGTACGGTCTCATATTATTATGGACCTTAACTTTTTTCCCTGTGGTTTAACAACTGAGGCGAAGACCACAACAGTATTACTCTCCTTCCCCAAGTATTGCTATAGACTTATCTCGGTAGTTGTTACAGATGTGCAGTAGCGCAACAATCGATGGATGGATGTACCTCGGATAGTATTATTAGGAATTTCTAATTAGACGTGGATGACGGGGAAGAACGGATTTTTCAACAGTTTATAACAGCCATTGATTTTAATTTACATAATTGTTTTCACACAATATAATATTAAGACGTATAGAACAACTCAACTCGGTACATAGGTGTGATGCGATGGTGAACTACGATTGTCGGACGGATGCAGCGTAACGTTTCAGTGCTGAAAACGACTGTAAAATAATGCCAAGTGGTTCGAATTCGATGGCTACAAAATTTGTTTCCTACCTTTCGCTTGATGATTTTAGAGGGTGTATTAGCACTAGAGTTATCTTATCCTCCCCCCCACATTTTTGTCACGCAAAATCTTATATAGACCGATAGCCGATAAGTGCATACGGCGTGGAATTATTGACTTAAAATATACATTATTAGGAACTATTAGGCATGTTTTATGTACGACCGATTAGTGATCATGTATCTCCACTATGTTACCTAATTAATAATTAATATACGGACGTACGGACGGGTGCAGTCGATTTGGTCAACATGAATAATACAACGTCGCCCTGTGTAAATAAACAGTTATAGTTGGGTATCTATAGTAAACCGGGTTAGCAAGTATGACTACTTAGGTAAAAGGCAAGCATATTTTCCAACTATAAAGTATTAGAATTTGTATTTTCCGTCACGTGTCTGGCGATGACGAGAATAAGTCTGTTGCGGATTAAGTCGCCTGTCTAAAAAAAAAAACGATTTCATTCTCTGGATCATTTTCCAACGATTAGTGCACCACTCCCCTTCCGTACCTCGTATGCATAAGATATAACGTTTCATGATATAATATCGATAACCGCATGTTGTCAATGGGGGGAGGGGTGGCGGTCGGACGTCACTTTTAATCGCAATAACGTACCTGCACTATAAAATATATTGTACAATATAATATACAAACTGTGTATTGTGTAATATAATAATTAATAATTTTCTAATTGTGGTTAACCTAATAAATGTGTGTGTATATTTTATTATACAGCCAGCACTGTTATACGCTTTATATATGTTAGAGAAAATACATACGATTGGTGAACAAACGTAAAGGTGACATTTGATATTTAAGTACAGAGAAGAAAACCCAGAGGATCACACATTCACACAGTGGTTTTATAGATTTAATCGATTTTTAGTTACCTAATAAGTTTGTTTATATTACACATTTATTTTATACTTTATACACATAATATTATAACATTGAAGAATCGTATGTTTTTATCGGAATTTAATATAGATGTGAATTAAAAACTATATTATAATATTATAGTAAGAGCTCGTATGTTTTTATAACAGTAACGTAACGCGATACCTGTTGTTGAGCTTAAATAAAATAAAAATAAAAAACAATTTCAACACAATATAATAACACACGCAGTAAATACGGAACATTTCAACTGATTTATCGTACCTACATACGTATCTATCTCAAACATGTTTACATGGGTTATATTATGTCGTGTTACAAAATATAACGATAATAATAATAAAAATATGAACAAGCTTTTACAGTAGTCGGTGCTCGGTATAACCAACCATTTTCACACATTAAATTAAAAAAAAAAAATTACAATAACCATGTCCGTGTGTTAAAACAATGATAATTCTAAAAACAAAATACAAGTAGAAAATTGTTTAGAATTTCATAACTTTTTACTTTAGGTATAGTCCTAGGCTGTAGCTCGTTTAAAATATTATTCATAAGTGTATAGTAATATAATCATTAACTACTCGTATTAAATTAAATAACAATAGAATTAATACACATTATATTTTAGTCATTTTTTATTTTTATTTTTTCTTCATCCAAAATAACTATAAATCGAAACAATTTTTCCCCAATTAATAGATATAGAATAAAAATGTAAAGGTTTTAAATTAATATTATATAATATTGTACTTTCCATCTAATATTTTACAGTGTCAGATATATGATATTTATTATAGATACCCAACATTGTTGTCAATATGATTGTCTTATGATTTACTTGTTATCTGAAATTATTGTTCTATAATTTCTAATGTATAAGTAGTTAATGACTTCACATAGGTACATTGAAAA